AATAAGAAAGTTATAAAGTCAATATAAAATATAATTAACCAAAAAATTTATAAATGAATAAACATTTAGTAAATATGAGTAAACAATGTACAAATGATAAACATTAAGTGGGTGGCATTACAATTGATGATTTAAAAGTTTGTTAAACAAACGCATCGTGCCCTAAAATCAAATTAATTGATTGTTTAATTGATTGATTGATGGATGAATTAATTATTAATTTATTAATTGAATAATTAATTAAGGAAAAGTAATGATTAAATTGAAAAAATTGAATATAATAATTTGTTAAGCTAGACAAACACAAACGTTCTTGTAGACTATAATAATTGCTTCAACAAGATGCATTGTCAATTTTTTTATAAAAAAGCACTTAACCTCAATCTCGGGATCTCTAAAAACTGGAATATTGACCGTTTTTCGAAGTTCAGAAGACCCTATGTCTTTTGCAATATCTTTTAAGTCTTTATTTTCATGATTACTCTTCTCACAAACAAAGTCATTGTTGTCTCCATCTTTTGAAATGTTCATTTTGCTTCCTTGAATTTGAACCTTCTCATTGCTACTGTTATTGGCATTTTCTTCATCATCGGTTGATATATCGCTGGTGTCTACGTCAGTGTCGCAACTTCTGAAGTTTTCTTTCATCTCGATTTTTTTATAACTTTTGTAACTTACATCATCAAAAACATCTCCTGATAATTTAGACAACTGTTTCATAGCTCCTACATCTGGATGAAGTTTCCTTAAAACACGAAATATTTTAAATATCTTGGTGCTTAAAATTCAATGCTAAAAACAAAGTTTATACTGAAATGTGATTACAAATCAAAAAATTATTCATCATAAAACAACAGCCGCAAAATAATTTTGTAAATAACATAACTAAAACAAAAAGTTAACTTTTCAAGTTTTCCAGATTGCATATCTGCAGTTGAAATCATTTGAGACAATTCATTTGAACTTGCTTTAACTATTTCCAATTGCCTCAACAACTCTCCTCTCTATTAAAATTCATTTTAAAGAATCACATTTTAACATTCATAAAAAGATGCTACGGGTATAAAAGAGAATGTAACTAAATATGTAGAATGAAACATAAGTAAATAAGAGAAAATAGGTAATTATCATGAAACGTAAATGAATAAAAAAAAACATAAATATTCCAAACAGGATAAAAAAGGACAAAAGGAAAGAAGCATAAACAAACAAGAACATAAATTAACAAAAAACAAAATCCATCATAAACGAACAAAAAGGAACATAAATAACCTGCAATCGTTTTTCTTTTCGTTGTACAATTTTTTCCAAATTGTGTTTTTGTTTTTTAGTTAACACTTTAACTTTTTCAGTATTGGTAGATAAAGTTTTAGATCTTCGTTTCTTTGAAGGCAAAACAAGTGCATTACTATCGTCATATTCTTCTTGCCTTACTGGAATTTCCAACTTGATCTATTGTAAATTGAAATGGTTTCATGTAAATTGAAATGGTTTCACAAAAAAATACTTTCAAGTAGATGAAATATTTGGATTGTTACAGGCAATTATTCACATCAAATATGTTTATATAAAAAATGTAGCCCTGTAAAGCCACATTCACTAAACATATTAAAAAATTAAATAACAAAGCTGTTTCAGTGCAGTCCAGCACATCTCCAAAATACTGAAATGAAGTAACAGTTTCGATCCAGGTAATCGTATCCTCATCTGGGCCCCGTTGTGCCGGGTTGATGCAGACGGGACAAATGAAATCAATCACTTTCCTCAGTGAGCCGGTAATACTCGAGCATCGTCTGTGACACCACTGCTGACATCGTAGGTATTTGATTTGTTGCTTCCAACTCCAGCCCCACACACCGAACATGGCCAATAACTAGAGACCACAGGTTCAGCAGTACCACCGGTGATCATAGTTTTTGTTTTGTCAAAGTTTACCTTTGGCCTGTGTTTGGCGAGCTGGGTATTCCAGACCTCAAACTTTCTGGCTGCGTTTTGTTCCCAGGCAGCCGTCAGGACGATATCATCTACATATATCACATTCTATATGTCATTTGAGCGTATCGGTTTGATTATTTCTTCCATCACAGTGATGAAGAGCAGGGAGCTGAGTATTGAATCCCTGGTAGACGCCGACGTTAATGTCAAATTCATTCGTGTTATCGGCTGTTGTGCTGACCAGAGTTTTTGCGTTAGAGTACGTTGCCATAACCAGCCGAACCAGATATTCTGGAACAAGCTGTCTATGTAGACTCCCACTGATCACTCTATCAAAAGCCTTTTCCAAGCCTACAAATACATGGAACAGTAGCTTTTGCTTTGCCAAGTATTTTTTCTGTAATAGATAGCATCAATGATGGATCTCCCTGCCATGAAACTGTACTGGTAACCACCTATTGAAACGCACAACAGCTTTCTCTTAATGACTTTTTTAATAACTTTCATGGGGTGTTCCAGAAAACGTATACCCCGATATGAGGAGCATTTCAGTGGGTCTCCTTTTCCTTTATATATCGACACAGTTGTGCTACTGTTCCATTCCACTGGTAGTATCGATTTACTCCACATTTCCTGACATGTGTAAGAGGGCTCAGAAGCCTGCACAACCAGATGCCTTGATGATTTCATTTGTAAGTCCAGACGGACAAGCCGCTTCACCCCCCCCTTTGCCTTCAGCACATCCGTAAGCTTCTCAGCTGTGAATCGGTCCTTCCACCAGCGATTGCAATCTGACATTTCGCTTCTGTGTTCTTTGATCACGGTCTGCCATTGTTTGAAAGCTGCTTTCTTACTGGCAATAGCATTTTGCACCGTCTCGTTCCACCCACCAAGTTTCGCGGTTGTGTTGGCGTTTCGGTCCCAATTTTCCACTTACAACTGTTTACTAGGGTGTCCTGAAAAGATTTCCAGCTTATATCTACCTTCTCCAGACGATTTAGCTGTGCCGATACCAACTCCTCAAATTTATCCCTGAACATGGGGTTCTTCAGTTTCCATGTCTTTATTCTAGTAGGCATTCGATTTGTCACAGGGCGTGATTGTTCCATGATCATATTGGCCACCAGCAATCAATGTTGAGAGATGCATGCTTCGCCTGGAATGACTTTGGTATTCCTGAATAATGGACTATGTTGATGTCTGACGACAATAAAGTCAATTTGTGTGCATGACATCCCGCTTTTATATGTGATCAAATGTTATGCCCTCTCCTTGAAGTAGGTGTTTAACAGGGAGAGTTCATGGCTTTCAGCTTCATCTCCAACATGGCCGTAGAAGTCGCCACATATCAATGGTATCTCTGATGATGGTGTTTTCCTGACGGCATCTGAGGGTGTGTTCCAAAAGTCATTTTTGGCGTGTTCAGATTCAACGGTCTGTGGTGCATATGCAGAGAAAACATTCAGAACCTGTTTTCCTATTCTGAGTTTAATCAGCATTAGTCGTAAGCTGATTCGAGTCACCTCCAGTACATTTTGTGCCAGTAATTCCCGTATGAAAATTCCCACTTCATTTTGGGCTGTCTTTTGGCCATTCCAGAACAACTTGTAACTCCAAATGAGAGAGACGCCATTTGATTTCCATCTTGTTTCCTGCAGAGAACAGATGCCAACCCTTCGCCTTTCCAGCATGTCGACGATCTCCATGGAGCGTCCAGTAAGCGATCCAGTATTTAAAGTGCCAAGTATGATATTCCAGTCGGGGACGCCCGATTTTCCGCAACATCCCTCCACTGTTTCGTTATTCCTAGATATTGTCACCCTTGACCATTTAAGGTCTTCCAGGGAATAGGAAATCTTTTCTTTTTTGTGATGACATGGAAGACGTTTGAGTCAAAAAATTTTTATATCTATATTATATTTTTATATCTGGAATTGCCCAATTCCTAACAACAAACACCAGTTATAATCAGCGGGCCTAGCCTTTTTGCTAAAATCACACAAGGCAGCGCAGTTGCAGTTTATTTCGTGCCTCCCACTAATATGCAGAAAGTTGATTGAGATAAAAATAAAAGAAAGAAGAATTTTTAAAATTTTAATTTTAAATTTTAAAAACGTTTATATCTTATTTAAATATGTTAACATAGTAATATATTAATTAAAATAACAATATATATATATATTAAAATTTATTAAAATCAATGTATTAAAATAGGTTTAATTAAATTTTAATAATTTTTTCAGAAGTTTTTAGTTTTTTTTTTCTAAAGCTTCAAAAAAGTCACTTGTATTTCTATTTCCAACGTTTCTGTGTTCTCGTGGTTGTTTTAATAAAACTTGAATTTATCAAAAAACCATGTTACATTGAAAGGTATGCCGACATCGTTGGGTAATTTCATCAGCCTCCGACGCGACATCACCATCATCGTAACAACACGAAACATATAGAACGAACTTAACCCTGCCCCTAACCCTGACACATATACACACATCAACTTTACACACATATACATTATACACATTATTTTACTAAATTATGTGTAAATTTTAATATACGTACAGATAACGTGTAATATATATACAAATTATATTAAATTAAAATATATAATAATAATATTACAATAAAAACATATGAAAAGCAAAAGCGCATGCATCTATTTTAATCTCAGTGCACTTTTCGAATTTCAGTAGGAGGAGCTTATTTTACTCTCTATTAGAGATAGTGAATCTAAACAAACGTTGTAGTCCTGAATGTAAACTTATGCCCACAGTGCAAAGTGCACTAATAAAAGTATTTATTAATTGTCAATCACAGTGCATAGCTCAGTAATAAGAGTTATTTAATAATCGTTGGTCAAGGTGTGCAGTGCACTAAAAAAAGTAATTAATGATAATAATAACCATCAGTCACAGTGATCCAACTTACAGTACATTACATTATGCCATCAGTCATCATATGATTATTAATAAAAAGAACAAAATAATTTAATATTCAGACTCATTACTTTTTTCTTCTCCGAGGAATTTAGAGAAGAGGTTGTTGACAATCTGGCCTTCCAGTTGCGTTTTTTGCCTCCCATGATATGATAATATTGACGATGACGATGAAAGATGGAATGGAGGATGCGATGGAACCGTTGAAAAATTTGTTAACAATCTATTTTCACTAAATTAATAACTACAATCCACCAGCTAAACAGCGACACGAGGCGCGGATAACAGAATATTTACAATGTGTTAGACGTGAATGTTTCAATAAACTGGGTCCAAAAGAATAAACAAGTTATGGAAAGCTGACTGAAAAGTGTGATTACAAAAGTTTTGTTGCATTGTATAGCAAGGCCCACATAACTAGAATAGGCCTATATATTTATTCTACATATATGTGCTGCATGGTCAAGGTAAAATCATTTACTTAGAATATCTATTAAGGCTTTCGAACAAACTTGTATTAATTTTAATGCGCTTTAGAACCTGATATTCTTTGGTTCCTATAAACAAGTTATTCATCAAACTTATCCAATTTTCACATTTTACAATTTATTAATAAATTATACAGGCAAGAAAGGAATCGATGGTAATGAAAAAGCAGATAGAGCAAGCAGCAATTACGGCATACTCACTACCGATTTCTGATGTCCCAACACCTACTCTGATTTTAAGAAATTCATAGAGCAAAAACATTAATAAAAAAAAAATGACAAAAAATTGAAATGAAACAAACACCTCTCTAAAATTAAAAATCCCAAACATAAAACAAACGAAAAAACAAAAATTTTCTAGGATCAATAAAAATTTTTTAAATAAATTAAACAGATGAAAAAGTGGGCCCACGAAAATGACACACCAATGGATTCTAGAAAAAAAACTTCCACCAATATGTGATCAAAGTAAAACTAGACTATCAATTCAACACATACTAACAGATTGCTTGAAATTATAATCTATTCAGATATAAATACCATTTTTCAAATAAGTTATCAGAAATATGTCAACAAGATTATATCCAAAAATATGTTGAAATTTATGATCAAAATTGACATCATGAAAAATATTATATGAACAAAAACCAAAAAACGATAAATATAGATAAAAGTTTTTCCAGAAAGTTGGAAAACGTGATAAAATGTCGTAAAAATTTGAACGAACGATTAAACGAAATATTTATTTTTTAAAGATTTTATTCATTTTTATGCATATTTAGTATCCTTTTTCTGGTGTACGTCCCTTTTAATGTTGCGTTGATATAATAAATTGGACTGGTAGATTTTCAATAGATCTGAATAGAACTTAATCTTCTGAACGTAAAAATGTATAATTTATGAGCAGTGGCAGATCTAGACAAATTTGAAGGGGGGTTAGGGTTAGTGCCCCCAATGCACCTCGACCCCCTAGATCCCCCACAGTTTATGAGGAAAACCCGGAAAAATTAACAGCGTTTGCAAGGCGTGTCATGCTGACCTAACGATAACTGTCTTCAGTTTGAGTCACTATATATATATTCTTGCCCATTTTGTATTAATTCGTCGTAAATCCTACGTTGTCGCGTCACTCACTACCTTATGTGATAATTAATATCCATGCCTCGCTTCATTTACAATCGATAATTAACATCACTTGCATTACTATTCCACCTATTCACACATTAGCATAATATATTTATTCATATACACTCGTACCATCCCATCACTCCACACACGTTTCGTTGTCATTCCAAATTTGCAATATCGATATTCGTACTTCTACCTTCACTTCCAGTATTTAACTTTTGAAATTAATTTAACATATTTTGTATATTGTATATTTTATTATCAGTTATCTTAACATTTAATTTATTTTATTGGCAAGTTAAGTACCTTTACTCAAATTTCGTATACTTTGTACATTAATTTTAATTTAATTTCCTTAATCATTTTACGCTTATATTTTCCCAATTTGGTTCGTTTATTTTTCTTGATTTTACAATTTTAAATATTCAATTCATATTTAATAATTTAAAGGTAGGCTCTGATGATGACATACACTGTCGAAACGACGTCGTCAGCCGTTCGAAATGCTAGACGAGTTTAATAAAATTGAGTTACAACAATTGCGTCTTATTGAACAAACCCAAAAGAAATTAATTAATACAAAATGGGCAAGAACATTCAACCAAATTTGTTATAACGAAAACCTCGTGCCAAACTATATATATATATATATATAATATATATATATATATATATATATATATATACTGAGTGTTTGCTACCTATATTCCGTTAGGATATAAACAAAACAAAGCATAAAAACAAATGTAAACAAATTCTAAACCGACATACCATTGTTTTGAATGAGAAAACAATAAGTCCATGGGTAGTAAAAAAGTGTTTTAGGGTTCAAAATTGAATAAAATAATTTTATAATTTTATCTTGCTATGGGCTTGCTTTTATCATTGTAAAAATATGTTTGAAAAAATTTCAATATTTTTACTTTCAAATTGATATTTCTAATAATCAAGCATAACTTCATTGTCCTTGCGACATATTGCTTATAACAATAGGAATGTAAGGCATGTTAATGGTTGGAAATATTGAGCTTTAACGCTTGATATATTTGGCGGTGATGGTAAAAGTAACATCTGGCGCACTCGGCCAAGATTAATTAATTACTAATAAATTGATAATGGCAATGAAACTATTTATGTATGACAAACTCATAACTGTAGGTTAGACTGATTTTTTTTCTCAAATACATGGTGAATATGATTTTATATGCGTATACGTGAACGTTTTAATTGTATATGAGATGAATATGTGAGTTAAGAAATAAATACGCTAATCCAAGGCGGGAGAAATGAAAGACATATAAAAGAAAATTCGTATTCAACTGTAACCTTATATAAATAGATGAAAAATTGTGACAAATGATAGTCAAAAAAAATTTTTATGTTATCATGCAAAAATCAATAAAAAAATTGTTTAAAAATTGAACAAATTTGATAATGAACTGAAATTCGCCGTACGAAAATTTGAAAAATCTAATTGCAAATTGAACAATGCCCACAATGTTGTGATATTAGTGTTACAACCACTTCACTATCAAAACGTCTCACAATCAATCAATCAATCCATCTACATATCCATCCATCCATCCATTCATCTACCCATCCATCAATCAATCAACCAATCAATCTATCGATCATTCAATCAATTAGCTTGTAAAGCAATATTTCCGCAATGTTCAACAACGCTCCTCAATAAATTTGGCAAACATATGGGTCTTGAGATCCGTTCTGAACTTCGCAAGTGATGTAGAAGTAAATAGAGAGTTCCAGAGAAAAGGGCCAGAAAAATCAAAAGCAGATTTAGCCAAAGTGTGTTCAACACGAGTTATGAAGAAGCGAGAACAAGAAGACGATCGTAAACCGGGGCGTTTAGGTTCAATTAATATATATGATAAGTACTTAGGAAATAATTTAAATTGAGACTTGTACATAAATGTGCAAAATTTAAAAATTATTCTATATTTTATATGAAGACAGTACAAGAGGGCAAGATATGGAGATATATGAGAAAACAAAGGGGCACGAGCAACTGGACGAGCAGCAGAGTATAGAATCAGGAAGGCCATAGTAGAGCGAGTTACAATAATCAATCTTAGATAAGACTAACGAAGTAAAAAGAAGGAGAAGAGTAGGATCATCAAGAAAAGGCATTATTCTACGTGGATGTACGTAAGAATTTCTAGCAACACTATTAATCTGAGAAGAATGAGACATCCTAGAATCAAAGATAAAGCCTAGACTACGAAACTTGTGAGAAACATAAAGAGTTTTAGAATCAGATAAGATAATAGGAGGAATAGTAATAGAGTGTTTAGATTTATTAAAACAAATTAATTAGAATTAAGAAGGATTAAGTTTAAAACACATTGAGTCAGACCAAGCGATAATTGAAGAAAGACATAGAGATAGATTATGAAGAACACTATTGAGATTAGATGAAGGAAAAGAAGAATAAATATAAGAATCATCAGCCTATAGTTGATTAGTGAAAGAAAAATTATTAATTATACAAGGTAGTTCAGAGGTATAGAGTATAAATAGAAGAGGGCCAAGGATAGAACCCTGAGCTACCCAGAAAGTAAGAGTAGAGGAGCTAGAAGGAGAATTATTGAGAACAACAGAAGAAAAACGATTACAGAGATAAGAAGAAAACCAAGATAGACAAGAATCAGTAATATTAAAAAAAGATTTAGCAGCCTTAAGAGAATAGTATGATCAATATTATCAAAGGCAGAGAAAAAATGCATACACAAAGAGGAGCCATCAAATTTCATGTACAATCGACACATGCAACTCCGGTTATCCACCAAATTTTTGACAACACAAAAATAATTTATCAAAACAACAACACAATACAAATAAAAATTGCAGAAGCTGTTTTATAGATATCAATAAACTTCTAATAAACATCCAACAAAGAATGTGTACATCTTTACAAACTTGACTCTTTTTAATACAAACTCCAACAAAAATAAGGAACTAGGAAGTGACACCAGTAAAAAAGATGAAGAATGTAACACCAATTAATTAACTAACTTTGATTTTTTAAAGTAACTACAATAAACCGAAGCTGCATTGAAGATGATTTGTGAAAAACAGTGCTATTCTGCATGATGAATTTCGATCATAACAGTTTTAATTTTAATAAATTTGCTTGATGAACTTGAATAATAATTATATTTTCAATAAATTAAACAATTTCCAACAAATTTTAGTAAGGAAAATTGAAAAGACAAACTTTAAATTGATTAATGTCAACAATTCTGTAGAGTTCATACATTTATACAATACTGCATATATATATATATATATATATATGTGTGTTGGTAATAGACCATAATTTTTACAATATTCTATAAATTCTACCTAATTTATAGAATATTGTAAATATATATATATATATATATATATATATATATATATGATTTCGTTTTACGAACTACAAACATATTAACGCCAAACATTCGGTAGAATTTATAGAATATTGTAAATATATATATATGTATATATATATATATATATATATATATATATATATATTAGATTTCTGAGATTTCTACAGTTGTTCATAGCAGATTATATATATATATATATATATATATAATTAGATTTCTGAGATTTCTACAGTTGTTCATAGATTATTTATATATAAAGCGCCCTTTATTATTCTCACAATGTAAAAATTGATGATTAAATGCGCTAATGCAAAAGTTGATTAAATGATTCACTTCAATTAAATCATATCATGAAAAGTTTGTCTGAAAAGATGGTTCTTTAGCTTTTTTCGAAATTCAATAATTGACAACCCACGATTTCGCAAGTCAACTGGCAAACTGTTCCAAATCTTCGGTCCCATAACAGCGAAATCTCTGCAACCAACAGCAAGCTGAGTTTGACGACTTGTTAACAAATCTAAATCGTTTGACCGTAACTTCTGACACTGTAACGGTGCATTTCTTTGAACAATTCTATCCATTAAATATTTCGGCGCTAATCCATTAATGCTTTTGTACACCAGTAGAGCAATTTTAAAAATAATTCTTTTTTGAACGGGCAACCAATGAAGATTGAAGAGAATAGGAGTAACGTGATCAAAATATGGACCACCAGTTAACAACTTGGCAGCCCGATTTTGAATTAATTGTAACTGTGCAACATACTTTTTGGGTAAACCGTAGAATAAACTGTTGCAATAATCGATCCTCGAGTGAATGAACGAGTGAATTAAACATTGCAATGTGTGCATATTTAGAGATCCTTTGATGAGTCTCAATTTTTTCAATTGGTAAGTACATTCTTTAAACAACAACTTTATGTGCAATTGCATTGTCATGTTTGTATCAAAAATAAATCCAAGATTTCGTGCTGACGCAAAAAATTCGATGACAAATTCCTTTATTCTGATAGTGGTGATACCCACTCTATTCACTTGCTGCCATGTACCCACAGGCAAAAACTGGGTCTTGCATTGGTTAAACTTTAATCTGTGCCCCATCATCCAAACATCAATGGCTGATAAACATGATACTAAATCATCGACCACATCACAAAATGACGAGGTAGAGGAGTTGGCTATTATTTGGATGTCGTCAGCAAATGCATGAAACCTGAAATTGTACGACTTAATTATTGTGTAAACATCTGCTGTATAAAGCAAAAAGAGAATGGGACCTAAGACGGAACCCTGTGGTACACCGTATGACAAAGCATCGACAGCTGCCAAATTTGTTTTGAATAAAATTTGTTGAGTACGACCAGCAAGGTACGACACGAACTACTTTTCAGCGACTCCCGATAGTCCAAATGTTTGCTTCAGTTTTTTGAGAAGTATTGCATGATCGACGCAATCGAACGCCGAGCTCATGTCCAAAAGAGCAAGCAATGACACATTTTGTTCGTCCATTGATGAATACAACTTTGACGAAACATCAATTAAAGATGTTTCCGTCGAGTGAAACACACGATAACCCGACTGGTGAACCGGCAGAAGATTATGAATTTTCAAAGGAGAAGCAAATTGTGATAAAACGATTCTTTCAACCAACTTTGACAAAAACATAAGGTTAGATACAGGTCGGTAATTTTTTAACTCATGTCTATCAAGAGAATTCTTCTTCAAAATCGGTGTGACAACAGCATTTTTAAACGCAGATGGAAATGAGCCAGAACTCAAACACAAATTTATGAAAAAGGTTAAAAACAGTAAAAACAAATCAACAAATTTTTTAAGAATCTTTGGGGGCACACAATCAAGAAAACAAGATTTTGATGGAGACTCTAAAATGACTTTTTTTTATGTAGCTGTCAGTACAGGGCGAGAAATTTGCAGAAAATTCTTCATCAAGATCACATGGAGTGAATGTTGGTTCATCACAATGATTGGTTAAATTACGATCATTATCAATTTTGCTTTTGAAAAACTTGGAAAAGTCAAGAGAACTATGATCAACTTCTGATACATCCATTACCTGTTCCATTCCAAGCAAACCGTTAACGGCATTCCAAAGACGTTTTGGTTTGTTGCTATTTTATTCCACCAAGTCTTTCCAATAACAATTTTTCTTTTTGACAAACAAGCAATATTTATCTTTAATAGCTTGTCGCCAGATATTCTTATTTTTATCACTTGGGTTGTTTCGATAAACCCGTTCTAATCTGCGACATAGCCTTTTCAAATCCCTGCACTCTCCGTCGAACCAAGGGGCTAATGGCACATGTTTAGAGTTGACATAGTGTAGTGGAGCCACTTCATCAACAACCCTCCTCACCTCACGATCAAACAATACAAATGCATCATCCGCGTCATCACTTTCAAACGGACTACTGATTGGAGAGTTTAAAATTAGTGATTTAAAACGATGTGTATCCAAACGGTTCCAAGAGCGTACCAACCGCCTTGTTGTCAATGGTAGCCTGACACTGACCGAGAATGAAACATTAATCAGACCATGATCTGAATAAACACCACTGGGATCTACTCTACAATTAGACAAAGGAATATCAGGAGTGGACGCAACTAAATCAAGTGTGCCACCCAAGTTATGGGTAGACTCATTAACCACGTTTGTTAACTGAAACGAATCAAATATCTCAAGCAAATTAATTGAGTGTGTATCACCAGGCCTTTCAATATGGATGTTAAAATCCCCAGCCACTATTAAACCATCACCCAATGCAAATAAATGTTCCAACCCCGATGACAGCTCACCAAAAAACAAAGATGTGACCAGTTTTGAACCTGGTCTGTAAATACCAAAAACAAAAACTTTGCGACGCTCAAAAGAAAATTTAACAATAATAGCCTCGAAAGTCTGAAAAACCGGAACTTCAATTTTCCTGGCCTTGAGCATCTTCTTGAAAAAAACAATAAGACTACCATGATAAGGATCATGAGGCCTCAACACTTGCAAGAAACTAAAACCTGGCGGCATGGCCAACTGAATAGACGGATCTTCAGGAGAACCATGCCACGTTTCTACAAAAGGAAAATGTCCAATCCACTAGATAACAATTGATAAACAACATGAAACTTTGCTATAACAGACTTTATATTAAAAAGACCAAAATTTAATACTAGATGATTGCAGTTTTTTGAAGCTCTACTATTTTCCAGCGTCCCACTTGGCCCCTCACTCTGTATAAAAAATGGCCATCATTAGCTTCTTTAGCTTTAGCTTCAGCAATCAATTCTCGCAGCTCAACGCGCTGATTACGTGTTAGATCATGACTGATTTTGATTTTGTTGAATTCACCCTCGAGAGACTTAATTTTCGAAATACTACGCATGACTCTGTTTTTGATGACAAAACTGGCGAATTTAACAGTAACTGGACGTGGAGTTTTGGAATCATCAATTTTCCTCCCTTGTCTGGTGACTTAAAAATATCATCATCCTTGATAGAGTTATCAGTGAGAGAGCGCAAAATAGCAGAAACTGAATCATTGTCCTTTCTATTAGATTCACTTAAGTTGAAAATAATGACATTGTTTTCTCTCCCTTTGATAGTATTCACCACTTCGAGGGTACGCTTCACAACCTTGACGTCATTTTTAACCGCATTGATACCCTGTTTGACTATACCAGTCCAAGATTCATTCATCTGCTGCTTGAAATTGTCAAATGATCTATCGAGCGTATTGTCGACGCTGTTGATCTGGTTCAACCTCACACCATTTGCCACTACCAATGGCTTTAGTTTGCAAAAATCTTTACATAACGCGTTTGTATGTTTGGAAATCTTTTTAATTTCCAATTTTATTTCATCATTTTTATCCAGAATTGGTTTGGTCAATGTTTTCAAACCATCGAAAGACCTGAGGCAACCATCGCAAATGTATCTGAGATTTCTACAGTTGTTCATAGCAGGCAGAATGTCTTTAGGTACACTTTCTGCAGGCGGAACATAATCACAAAAACAGCATGTAACGCTATTAACACCAACTTTGATGCCTTTAGTAGTCGAACGTGTATCTTTAGACATAATGCTTCACAGGCAAACAGTGAAAATAATAAACCAAACTATCTATAATCTTTTGCAACAAAACAAAATATCCACACGGTCGGACCTGCAACAGAGATACTCCGTGCACCAATCTGCAAGTGTGAAACCAGTATTGTCAACAAATTCGTATCATCTGACCGTAGATGAGACAACGCAGACATTTTTTTGAAAATTTGTTTACGAGATATTCTGGTGACATCCCATTCAGTGAGAGGCAACTAAGAGGCAAATGATGTACTTGTTCAATATGTTCTTTAATGGCGCCGTCTTATGTATGCATGATGAGTCTTCTAATGAGAGTAGTTCTCGTGTGACCGATGTAACTCTCCAAAACTTTGTATGGCAAAGGGCAATCGAATCGGTACACGAGGTTCGTCTTCTCTAGTTTATTTGATGGTCGAATGTTATTCTTAATAATTAAATTAGACGTCCTGTTAGTGTTATAATAAATTATTAATTTTAACCAACTGTTGTTGTTAGGAATCGAGATGTTTGTCTTAATGATAAGTTTAAGTTGTGATTCGTCGATTTTGTAATTATCATGCATTTGATTTAAGTAATATAAAGGTACGACTGTCTTTGATGAAGGTGGAGTTATTGGATTTTTTATTTTTCTTAAATACTGATTAATGATGTGATGTTTTATATGTTTAATTTAATATAAATTCGATTCAACACGTTACGATATCTCTGTTTATTTTATAGTCGTCCCAAAGATACTGAATATATAAAGATACATATGTCACATCTCCCCTTTTAAAAGTTCAATTTTATTGTTTTTATTTAATACAAATATTTAATTAAGAACATAGTCCTTGAATCTAACAGGGAGTTTTGATGAACGACTACTTGGTGTCTTCAGGATGGATTCTTGGGAAGACTGTGTGGTGTCATCTGTTGGACTGTTGCACTGAGGGTGAATTGGGGATTCCAACCTTTGTGGTTGTGTTGCCTCTACTGGTGGTGCGCATATAGGTGGATCTTATTTGGTGTAGATGAGATCTCTTCGGTTCCGTCTTAAAGTTGAACCATCCTCTGTGTCAACAATGTATGATCTTGGAGCTTGATGTTTAAAACGAACAATTCCACGCTTCCATGTTTCATTGTGATTCATACGTACTACATCTCCTTCGTTCAAACTTGGAAGAGGTTTCGATTTACGATCATAATACTTTTTTTTGTTGTTGCTGTCTGTAAACTAGAGCCCTGCGCGGTTTGCGGTTTAAACCGCAAAAACCGCACCGCAACCGCGGTTTTTTGCGGTTGCGGTGCAAAATCATGCGGTTTTACGCGGTTGCGGTTTTTAAATATGCGGTTTTAAAATATGCGGTTTTTCCGCGGCGCGGTTTTTTTTATCAAAACCGCGGTGACCGCAAAAATTTTGTTAAATATTTTTGTTCGTCCATAACATTTTAAAAATTGCATCATCATTGTAATAATTTTATATATTAAAATCTTAATATCTTTGGAAGCCGTTGAAGCAACCATTTTCTTTTTCCTGTTTACTTTGAAAGAAGTAGTTATTTTATTTACGGCGTGGTTAATTATCGATTATTTTATAAAAATGTCCGAGGTAAAAAATGTTGAAGTTCATCCACAGGTAGATGTAATGGATAAAGAATTTTTGATTAAGTTGATGCTGTCCAAAAGCAAAGACGTTTCTTTAAAAGCTCAAGAAAATTCTAAAAGTGAAATTTGGAAAAATTTTAGCAGAATTTATTTTAAAAACGTGGCTACATCATTTATCTGTTGTAACAAATGTGTAGCTAAATGTGTGTTGAAACAAGATCGGAACACGGGAACCTCCGTCATGAAGAGCCACCGATGTACCAAACCTCAACAGAGCATTGCTTCATTTATTAATAATAATAAAAATAAACTGCCTTCTGGATTGAAAGAAAAAATTACAAAAAAAAATGGCTGAGTGGTGCTGTCAAAATTTAAGGCCTTTCAGCATTGTTGAAGATGATGGGCTACAAAAAATTGCTGAAACATTTATGGAAATAGGACATAAATATGGAATTGTTCCAATTCAAAATTTGACGCCAGTTGCAACAACTGTTTCAAATAATGTAGAACAATGCTTTAGCCGATTAAGGATTAAACTGAAGCAGAATCTACAAATGGTTAGTAAATGCATTCTTCATAATTTTTGAAAATATTTTTAAACGTTATTCCATTTATGTTTATCTTAGCATCCTGGTCCAAAGGCTTTCACATCAGACCATTGGAAATGCTCAGCAACCAACGTTGACTACCAAATTATAACAATTCACTATTTTGAAGTAACCAAAAAAAACTGGAATGTGGACATTAGTTGATCGTGTTTTGTGCTCTGTTCCATTGGATGAAAGAAAAACTGCAGAAAATATCAGAGAACAGTCTAGACAGATTTTAGAGGTATGCTTGAATTTATTTATTTAAAATTTATATTACAGATTTTTTTAATTCTAGGAATATGGTTTAAATTTCCATTCATCTATTTGGACGACTGATAATGCCAGTAACATGGTGAAAGCGTTTTAATATTTGAAAAGATTTGGATGTGCTGCGCATGACTTGAATCTAGCTGTCAAATATGGGTTTAGAGATCAAAAAAATGAAGCTGAGGAAAATGAACCCGATTCAAACAAAATCATGGTGTTAATGAAGACAGCCAAAAATTTGGTTGCATATTGCAAAAGATCCAAGTATGCATAAGTTTTTATTTTTACTTATGAATAATCTGTGTTAATATTTGTGTTATGTATTTGGATGCTGTAATTGAATAAGAACTAAAAATGAATTTTTGCTGCTAGCATACAAAAGGCACTGGTTGAAAAAGGACTAGGCTTGAAGCAGAAAATAGTCACACGATGGGACTCAGAATTCGATATGCTGGAGTCAATTAAGAAAGCTATTTCTGAATTAAATATTTTGCTTCAAGACAATCCCCAAAAAAATTGTCTTTATCTCTTGGACACTCCACTTATAGATCATTTACTTGAAATATTAAACCCGATAAAGTTGGCTACCAAGATGTTTTCGCAGAGTAAGGTTCCAACAATTCGTCTTAAGGCTTCATTGAAGTACAAACTGATTGACAACTTAAACGCTCTAGAAAAAAAATACACAAATTATCAAGACAAAAAAGATTATGAATATTCAATTTATTTTGATCATCTTAAAAAGGTAAATTTTTATTGGATCCTATCTGAATAATTTATTATTTTTCTACTAAAACATATTTCAGTTTGTGGCTCATATCAGAAATGGTGTTGAAGAGAAATTGAAAATCGACAATATTCACAAAGCAGCGATGCTTTTGAATCCAAAATTTAAAAAGCTACTCCTTTCCAATTTAACTGGTGATGAATTATGTGATTTTAAAAAATACATCAATTCGGTGCTACTGGCAGAGTTCACTGGCCACATCCATGAAAATGATACATTGAAAATTGTTGAAAACAAAGGTAATTATATTTTAAATGTTGACATTCATTCTAGTAAACTCTGTTAAATGATAAAAAAATTTAGAACTTTTAACAGAAGCTCCTTTGCCTCCAAGCAAGAAACCCCAAATCGAGGTAAGTTAACAGTTAACTATATAAACGATTATAGCTTTTTGTTAGTGGTACTAAACATTGTTTTTTATTTTGAATTTACAGGACGAAGTGTTCCAGTGTTATTTTCATCCTCTGATAGATGAAAATGACACGGAAATTAAAGAACTGGATAAGTACATTGCAGAAGAGACTCCTCACGTGGATGCTGTTCATTATTGGTCCAGTCATAAGAAATATTTCAAACTAAGAGAAGTTTCCTATTTTCTGTTTCGAGTGTTTCGTCAGAAAGGGTAGGATCATCTCTCAATTATACACTGCAAAAGAGACGGTCCAGTTTAAATCCATACAAAATTGACAAAATGTTATTTATTAAGAGTAACAGTGATTTGGATGTAGATAGTTGTGATTTATAATGTCAATAAAAGCATTAATGTTGTTTTACATTTCTTGCGGTGCGGTTTTCGGCGGTGCGGTTGCGGTTTTCGACGCTGCGGTTGCGGTTTTCGACGCTGCGGTTTTGTGCGGTTGCGGTTTTGTGCGGTTGCGGTTTTTGAAAATTCCAACCGCGCAGGGCTCTACTGTAAACTAGATTATCTCTTTATATTGCCTTGTTGAGATTTCTAGGATCGAGGCATAATCTTAATGATCCATCTTTCTTTTTGGACAATAAGCAAGCTGTTTACCAAATCTGTTGGCTCATCTTTTTTTTCTATTATTCCATTTTTCAACAAACTATCTAATTTCTGCTTGAGTTTTGGCTGTAACGTTAGTGGTACTCGTCTTGGCGGATGTATCACTGGTTGTACTGATGGGTCTACTGTAATGTGATACTCTCCAGGAAAACAACCAAGTTCTTTGAACACATCAGAAAATTCATCAAGTATCTGTGCTGATGTTCTTTTTTCTACACTGGTTTTTATGGTATCAACTCTGTGTAGAAAATTTAGTTTGCTGCATGATGGCAGCATGATGGCAGTCCTATCAGGATTGGGGCATTGCCATTAATGATATAAAATTCTAGAAACGTTTTCTTACCCTTAATTATTGTTTCAACCATTGATGATCCTAGAGGCTGAAGTTTTCCACTGCCATAAGGTTTAAGAACTATGTTGGTCTTTGTTAGCTTTGGTCTTTTAGGAAGTTGTTCAAAAACTGTTTTTGACATGACGTTGACTTCAGCACCTGTGTCTAATTTGCATCTGACTTTCATGCCATTTAGAATCTAAATGGCATGAAAGTCAGATACAAATTTTAATGCAGATCTAAATTTTAGATATAGTTATTTCCACCAACAATTTTCTTGATTCGCAGTGCAACTATGTATGGCTAATTCACCAATGACGAAGCTGTTTATATCTTCCTCAACTGCATGAATTGATGATCTAAATGATGCTGGTGATGCTGAACGTGAATGGTTGTCTGTAGATTTATTAAAACTTTTATTACTTCCTTTGTTTGACAAGTTGGGGGCTTTACATATCTTACCAAAATGGTTGTTTTAAACATCTGTAACATTGTTTTTTAAAAACTTTAAAAACGTTTCATTATTTTATTGATAAAACTTACACTTATCGTTTAAACATTTATTTTTACTATATTTAAACAATTGTCGACTGCGCCATGTGATGTTTTGTATGTTTAATATAAATTCGATTCAACACGAACGTGCGTTACGATATCTCTCTATATTTTATTATCGTCTCAAAGATACTGAATATATAAAGATACTTATGTCACAAATGGTACTGTTAATAAGTTTATTAGAGTAATTATTATTTATTAGAAATTTTTTATACGAGTAAGTTCAGTATTAAATATATTAGAATCGGAAGAGACTTTGTATGCACAAAGGATAAAGTTAAATACAACATTATTTTTGTAGCGATCAGGACAATCAGATATGTTGTTTAATACCTGACCAGAATTCGTAGGTTTAACGTAAACCTTAAAAATTAATTGTTGATTTTTCTCTTCGATCAAACAGTCTAGAAACGCTAACCCTTTATTCATAATATTTCCACTTTTCCATATTTTCTTCAATGATGCAAACATTCCATGGGTTATTGCTATCCTTCTGTCAATTTCTTTTGTGCAGTTGTTGTCACAGGTTATAAGACTGCCAAAATACACAAACTGGTCACTTGTTCAAGTTTTTCAGTTTTTCTGATTCTATCTAAAATTCCGCATTGTTTCTTACTTTCCCCGTAATCATCACTTTTGTTTTGTCTTTGTCTTTTTCCACCAACATGAGTTACTTCAATAAGCTTCTGTAGATCTTTTTCCCTGGAAGCCAGAAATTGTTTGCAAACCTAAAATCTTTGACAGTTCTCCTTCCTATGTAAATTCCACCCAATTCCGAATTTTCCATTTTTTCCTTTGCTCTTTCTAACAATGCTATAAATAGTATTGGTAATATTGGATAGCCCTGTCTTCTTCCAATGTCTGCCTGTATCCAATCCTCAGGTTCTGTACCTATTATTACCGACATTTTTGATTCTTCATAAAGCCCTCTCAGTACTTTGACCAGTTTTCTGATGTCTCCATACTTTCTAATGTTGCCCACAAACCTTCATGCCAGACGGAATAAAACGCTTTCTTAAAATCAACAAAGCAATGGTGGATTGTCTGACCACTACTTTTTGCAGCAGTTTCAACATCAGAATTTGTTGGATCGTGCCTTTGTTCTTTCTGAAGCCTGCTTGTTCTTTATGCAGATGTTGCTCTATGACCTTTTCCATTCGTTCTTTTATGATGGTTATTATTATTACAGTTATTATAGAGATAACTCTGAGTTAAAGTGTAATCACGTAATATATGAATTTAATTTCCCCTTTGACGGCTGTGCACGTCAACATGACTCATATATCGGGATTACTACTACCTCACTGACTAGAAGGCTTACGATGCATAAACAGAGTGGTGCTATCAATTCTCATTTGGACTCAACACACTCAATCACAATTAGCCGTGAAATCCTCGACAGCAACACCAAAGTAATATACCAGAACAGCAACTACACGCATCTTAAAATTGCAGAAGTAGTCCTAATCGACATCAATAAACCAAAAATAAATATACAACAAAAAATGACAACCTCACTTCCAACCCGGCGCTTAACCAACAACGAAAACAAAGAAGTAATAAAAACTAGCATCGTAAATAGTGACAAAGAAGAATATGATGCTATCGATGAAGAAAAGGAGACCAAAGAAGATGACCAGCCAATTAAGAAACCTGACACCTAATTCGCATCAAAGTTCAATTTTACAACACCAAAGTTAATTTTTACAGCGTCAAAGTTAATCTTGACAAAGTCAATATTTCCCTATATATACAGTAAGGAGCACTGACGATGATTCATTCGGAATCGAAATATGGCCTTATTTGCAGCATGAATTCGAAAAATAAGTTTATTTTGAATTTTAATAAACTAAACGTTCACCAAAAAACTTTAGTGAGAAAAATCGAAAAAACGAACTACAAACATATTAACGCCAAACATTCGGTAGAATTTATAGAATATTGTAAAAATTATGGTCTATTACCGACATATATATATATATCATCAAGTCACTTGCTACCTTATTCAATAACTGCTAAATTATTTTATGATATTTTTTTATATTTATATTTTATTACTTATCTTTCTATAATACTTATTTTAATAACGTCATTTTATTTTGTTTCAAATTTTATTTTTTCTATATCTACATTATTTGTTAATTATAATAATAAATTTTAATTTCTACATTCACCTTTTTTACTGACTTTCACTTTTAATATTGTTGCGAGTTTCTTTAGATATAAGAAACAACAAGTAAGAATGTTTATAACGTATTTATTTGCGCAATACTAAATAAATGAAAACGTGTTCGGCAATGCAATTAGACAAAGAGAAGTTCGATCGTAAAATGTCGCAAGAAGGGCTGTTGTCTTTGTGTTGAAGCTATATATAGTAAGTGGTCACATGCTTAGGGATGTGCGGTTCAACAATATTCCTCTACCAGATCATCAGCGCAAACTGTTGATCGATGCTAATCAAGATATCGAAATTGGAAGTAAACTGTTCTTCCCGATCTTGTGGTTCTCCGGGGTGATGGAATGTTGGTGTCGATGGATCGATTTGGGTGTGCTTGTGTCGACGTAGATGTTTCTGTTGTTGACATGTCCTCGTCCGTTGATGGAGATAGCGTTGACGTTTTCGTTGATGCTGATGTGTCGTTCGACGACGGAATTAATTTTGTTGAAGGTGTTGTAGAAGGTGGTGTCAGCGCTGTGGTCGTTGGCATGGGTGACGGTATTGATAGTGCCGGTGAGTATGCGGGTTTGAGGCGGTCTATTGCCACCGTGTCCCTATGCCCCTTTTTGTCAATGACGAAATATTTTGGGTGTCGTTCTACCACTGTGTAGGGTCCCTCGTATGGAGGTTGTAGTGGTGAGCGGTGAGCATCCGTACGAATAAAAACCTGTTCTGTAGTGAAGAGGTGTTTTGGAATGTAACTCACATTTGTACTTGTTCTTGGTTGTGTTGCTTTTAGGGTCTCCGCCCAGCATTTGAGTTTTAATGCATAGGTGTGTACATCGGTTGTCTATGGCCGTGGGTTTGGAAAATCTCCGGGAAGGCGGAGTGTTGTGCCGTAAACAAGTTCTGCTGTTGACAACTTTAGGTCTTCCTTCATCGTTACACAAATGCCTAATAGTGTCACTGGTAATACATCCGTCCATTTGTCTGAACCGTGAGCCATAAGTGAGGCCTTAAGCTGTCTATGCAATCGTTCCACCATACCGTTGGCTGCTGGGTGGTAGGCGGTGGTGTGAATATGTTTAATGTTTAGTAACTGGGTGAATCTCTTGAAAGATAAAGATGTGAACTGGCTGCCTCTGTCTGTTGTAATGGTTTCTGGGACTCCATACAACGAAATCCAGTTTGAAAATAATTTATCTACTATTGTTTCCGTTAGAGTATTTTTGATGGGAATTGCTACTGGCCATCTGGTGAAACGATCGACACACGTTAAGATGTGTGTGTGTCCATCTGATGAAGACATTGGTCCGACTAAATGGATGTGTACATGCTGAAACCTGCTTGGTGGAGGAAATTCTGCTGGACGTGAAGCTGTATGTCGATGTACTTTGCTGCGTTGACATTGCAGACACTCTCTGCACCAATTACGGATGTCTTTATCAATGTGGGGCCAAACATACCTGGCTCTAATTATTTTCGATGTTGGTTTCGCTTCTGGATGTGACAGGAAATGGAAATTTAGAAAAACTGATTTCCGCATGCTTGTTGG